AGTAATCCAAGGCCTGAGAAAATCCATCCACGGAGTTGGTGGTCAGCCTCAGGAACAGTGCTGGGTCTGGAAGAACTCCCCAAGTTTCAAGGGATGTGAGCTCTAGTGGGAATGTTGGAGGCTACTGCAGCAGCCAAGCACATTGTTACCTGAAATACTCCCACCTCCCACCCATGTTTGCTGTATCACCTTACTAGCTTGGTTTTCATCTGGCTTCTTGACCCACTTCTTCAGAATGTCTTCATGCTCGTTTGCATACTTAGGTGGTCCATTCCATGCCTGCTTCAACTCCATGGTGTTACCAGAACCTGCCCTATGGTCTCAGGTTTTGGACCTGAATCTCAGAGAAGGGGATACTGATGATTTCCCTCAAAATAATTCATCAGGGAGTTTAGCTTCATTTTCAGAGTGCTTATGTTTTCACTGAAAGCTCCCCATCTCCCTACCCTGCCCACAATACTCTGATTTTATATAAACCTTACTCTGTATAAAGTTTCAATGATACTTCCACACATTATGAACTGTAGCAATATGTGTGGTGCCACAGAATGATAACTAAGGCAGTTGATAAACATTTTGTACCTATTAATATTTTACAATCTATATGAATGTGAATTCATGTATGTGCTTGTGTAATACAAATATATGCCATGATACTTAGTGAAGTGTAGTGAATAGAGTAATGGATGTGTGGATTCAGTTCCCTGACTCTACCATGGAAATTCATTGGGAGGGAGTGGAACTGGTAAAAAATACTCTTTAAATACCTCACTGAAGGGGTCCATGTATTATATATATCTTAGCCTAACCGTAGCCATCTTGCTTACTGTAATAGCTTTGCTGCAAGTAGGCTTGTAAGTAACTGGTCTAATTAAAAGTCTGTCCTTGGGAAGCTGAGAAGCAGACACAGGAAATGATGAAATTCATTGGGAGGGAGTGGAACTGGTAAAAAATACTCTTTAAATACCTCACTGAAGGGGTCCATGTATTATATATATCTTAGCCTAACCGTAGCCATCTTGCTTACTGTAATAGCTTTGCTGCAAGTAGGCTTGTAAGTAACTGGTCTAATTAAAAGTCTGTCCTTGGGAAGCTGAGAAGCAGACACAGGGAATGATTTACAGTGGACCCTCGACTTACACAGGTCCCTACTTACAAAAATTTTCAAGGTACGAAAAGTTCCGGTCGCAGAATTTTGGTTCGACTTGCAGCCGGAGCTTCGATCTATGAAAGTCAGAGGGAAAGGGCAGGAAATTCAACACCTGCTGCCAGCTTTTGGCTTCCCAGGCTTCCAAAGGGGACAGGAGGCAGAGGGCAGCTGGTGCAGCTTTGGAAGCTCGGGATTTTTTTCTTTGGCTGGAACGGATTAAATGGTTTTCAATGCATTCCTATGGGAAGTGGACCCTCGACCTACGGACTTTTCAACCTGCGGCCACCGTTCTAATACAGATTAATTCTGTAAGTTGAGGGTCCACTGTACTGCTCAAAGCTGGGTTCATGCAGGAATATTTACCAATTATAGAAAGCCCTCCCATTTCTCCACCTACTCCCAACCCCCTTGGTCCCTCTTTCATGTAATGCCTTATAAAAGTTTATACTTTTGTATCAGGGGTGCACTTCTTCTCTGCATGTTTGTGTGTGTGTGAAGTTTGTGCCTATTTTCAGCTGAAAGTAAACAAATGTCTATTGGATCTCTCTGTCTCTGCCTGATTGATTAATGTATTAGAGACAGGTAATAAATTCTAGGAATTAGTCCTAGAACCCTTCACCACTTAACATGAAAACCCCATTATGGTTGCCAAAAGTCGGTTCTAACTTAACAATACATAACGACAACAAAATATGAATAAAAGAGAATTTATTCTTATAGAGTAATAAAATAGATAAAAGTAACTAGAGATTCATATTTTATTTTTGATAAAAGAAAACCATTCAGCAGCAAATTTAGGATTCTGGTTCCTGCCATCCCATATACTGGAATCTTAACATCTTCTCAAAGAGGAATTCAACAGTAAGCATCTATAGGGAGCACATCAGTAATCTCAAATAGCTTCATCTCTTGGGCAAAATACTGTACTTAAAGTATACATCCAGCCAAGGTAGCAAATATATTTGCCCAGAGGGCCAAACTGGATCCAGATAACAATGCCAAACAAGAAAGGACACAGCTCAAAATGGATGTACTGTCTGCCGCTAATATAGTCTGCCAACAAAAATCACTTGTATATGGACTCTGCTATAGTTGTTCACCTACACAGAGAGACACAATTCACTCAGCGGCTTGCTTGCTTGCTTCTTCTCTGACACACACACAGAATGCATTCACATGCTCTTTTCCAAGAGGAAGGATATCCATCTTTATTCAGCATCCAAGAGGCAGCTAAAACTGTCCTTTTTCAGAAAGTCTTTGGTCTCTAGTTTGTTTAAACTGGCTTTTTGATAATGTTTTTAAAGATGGCATTAAATGTTTTAAATGCTTTTGGTTTGCATTTGGATGTTTTAAATCTGTTTTTGAACATTGACTCTGCTGCAAATTACTTTGGTGAGCAGAAGGTGATGAACAAACACACATTTCACATGTTCACCCTTTAACACCCACTCACTCAGACCCAATTCATAGACATATTCTTCCCCCCCCCACTTTCTCCCATGCCCTCCCCCACATACATACAGAAACACTCCTTGGTGACAATCCCAGCATCTGCTCACAAACATTTCTGGGTTTTCAACTAATGCAGGACAAGAAGGGGCTTTCTTCACCTCCATTCATCTCCAGAGACACAGAAAGGCATGGAAAAAAGTTGTGACCTGGAAATTCTTTTTTTCTGTTGCCCAGCCTAGTGGCTTTCTATGCTGCATATTCCCTTCTGTTTACTTTATGCAGGGCAGCAGCACAGAAATGCTGCAATCTGATCCTCCCTCGTTAATCAATACTTTGCCTGGCTTCTCAATTCAGAGCTGGGGTGGGGAATTCCCAGGAAGTAGGGGGGGGGGTTCCCCAGCTGGTTTTTCCAGTCAGA